CAGCATCAGATCCATCATCAGCAGCAGCATCATCAGCATCTTCATCATCATGATCATCGTCAGCATCAGCAGCATCATCATCATCATCATCATCATCATCATCATCATCATCATCATCATCATCATCATCATCATCGTCATCAACCTCATCATCAGCATCATCAGCATCATCGTCATCATCATATTCATCATCATCACCATCATCATCATCATCATCATCATCATCATAATCATCATAATCATCATAATCAGCATGAGGATCTTCATCAGCATCAGCATCATCGTCAGCCTCAGCATCACCAGCAGCATCAGCGGCATATTCATCTGTATCATCATCATCATCAGCATCAGCGTCATCATCATCATACTTAGCATCATCATCATCCTCATGTTCTGATCGCAAACAGCATCATCATTGTCATCATTGTCATCATCGGCATCGACATCATCATCGTCATCATCATCAGCAACATCATCATCAGCAGCAGCATCAGCATCATCATTATCCTCAGCTTCATCATCCTCTTCATCATCAGCATCCTCATCAACTGCATCATCAGCATCATCATCATCAGAATCATCATCATCGTCATCATCATCCTCATCCTCATCCCCATCATCATCATCATCATCATCATCATCATCATCATCATCATCATCATCATCATTATCATCACCATCATCATAAGCATCATCATGATCATCATCGTCCTCATCATCATCATCATCATCATCAGCATCATTATCATCATCCTCAGCATCAGCATCCTCTGCATCATCAAAATTATCATCAGCATCATCATCATCATCATCATGATCATCATCATCATCATCATCATCATCATCATCATCATCATCATCATGATCATCAGCAGCAGCAGCAGCAGCCTCCTCATCATCATCATCCATCCAAGGAGTCTGCAGCTTCTCTGGCCATTGCAGCGGGGGCGCTCTGGGGCCCTCTGGACTGCGCGAGCGGGGCCCTGCAAGCCATCTGGACCTCCCCGGACATCCGGGGGCCACCTCGCACCCAGGGGCAACCTCCGGCGACACCCGCAGGGGAAAGAGAAAGGGGGGGGGAAGAGGAGCAGGAGTACAGGGGCCCACGGGAGCACACATACATCGACGCAGATCCCAGGAATCCCCGTGCTGTTTTGTGCTTACCTGAATTCACTATTCCCCCACATTTCCCATATCTCCCACATTTGAATCAATATTGGCACGAGTACAGTCGGGCTGCTCCAACACGGAACGAGACATGAGCAACGAAGCCCCTTTTTTGGCACCGAAAGCGCCCGGGTGCGCGAGGAGTGCTGGAGGAATACCCACGGAGGGTCCGAAGGAGCAGAAAACCCCTCCTCCCAACCCAAAGCTGTCATTATTTCAGCGTCTTGACTGTACAGGGGGCCTAGGGGAACACAAACAAATCGATGCAAATCACAGGATTCCCTCTACATCTCCCTGAGGCTCGCCTTCTCATCCATCTCCAAGATCCCCCCGCATTCTCACTGAAATCATGCCTGTCTGCGCTTGTGCCGATTCGCCCTCCTGCAAGGGAGGGCGAAGGAGAAGGGGAGGCAAAAAGGCGCAGCAAACAGAGAGGGGGAGGAGAGAGGGGGCGGAGGGGGAGAAGGACGAGGATGGGTCAAGGCTCAGGCGACTGGGTGCGACGCCAACAGCAGCAGCGGGAAGGGCGGACGAGCACGACGACGACGACCACGACGACGACGACGACGAAGACGACGACGACGACGACGACGACGACGACGACGACGACGACGACGACAGCGACGACGACGACGACGACGACGACGACGACAACGCCTCTTCCTCTGGCTTTCGGGCCACGACTCGGGCCTCCAGCGGCCGCTCGGGACGACTTGGCAGCACCAGGCCGCTCCCGGCGAGGCGCAGCCGATGGAAGGCACCCCGGGGCCCGAAGGCCTCCACGAGACCGGAAAAAAGCTTCCGACAGCCTCCAGGAGCGACAGCAGGACGACCCCGACGCTGTCGGCTGCACACAAGAGCCGCTCTAGGCAACATGTTTTCCCCCCGGGTTCTCTTATTTGGACGCCCGAAATGGGCACCGAAAAAATGGGTACAATGCCCAACAGCAAATGTTGTCCCAAACCGACAGCGGGCGACCTCCTGTCTCGAATGGACACAGGCCGCGGCGGCGTGGACAGCGAGTCCTGTTCAGAATGACCTAGAGCTGCTGTTGGGCATCGTACCCATTCTTTCAGTACCCATATCGGGCGTGCAGATCTCAGGGACCTCGGGAGCCCCGGGGAGCGCTTGGGGCCCCGGCCGGCGTGAAGTCGCCACCCCCCCGCGGCAAACGGCCCAGCGGAGCGCAAGCCCACAGCGGAGCACCTCCCTCTCGCGCGGCGAGGGGCCGGGCCGGCCGAGCACCGAGCGGCCCTGGGCAGCAATAGGACGCTCGGTGCGCGGCGGCTCTGGGGGGGCCCGCGGGGGCGCCGGATCCGAGCGCGAGAGCCACTGAGGAGGAGGAGGGCCCCTGCGTGCCAGCCCGCACCAGAAGCGACTCTGGCGAGGGCTCGCTCTCGCTAGCGGCCGACACCCCACTCGAGGTGCCGAGGCCCTCCGGCCATGCCTCGCACCTCCGGCGGCCAAGCGCGGGACGAGCCAGGAAGCCCCCCGGAGCGCACGCGGCGGGGCGCGGCTGCTCGAGAGCAGCCCGAGGCCGGAAGCCCGCCGAGAGAAGCGGCGAAGGCCTCGAAGGCCTCGAGCCCCAGGCACCAGACGTCACTCCAGGGAAAGAGGAGGAGGAGGAGGAGGAGGAGGAGGAGGAGGAGGAGGAGGAGGAGGAGGAGGAGGGGGTCTTCACGGCTACAACGGCAGGTGGTCGTCACGTGTTCCAGAGCACCCCAAACCTCGTCGACGACAACCATGTGCGCGACCACTGCGCCGCCGCACATCGTGCTCTGAGGATGCCAGGCGCGCCCAACGCGAAGGGCCACTCGTGCGAGTGAGCCTTCCGGAGGGTCACTCGTCGGCTACACGTAAGAGTGACCTGACCCTGGGTAAGAGTGACCTTTGGTGCGCAGCTTTTGGGGGGCCGCGGGGAGGCCAAATCCAGGCGCGCTAGCCGCTGCTACCGCTTCGCGTTCGGCCATCTGGGGGCCCATCTGCGCCCGCACCAAAGGTCACTCCAGCGAAAGGTCACTCTTACGTCTAGTCGAACTCGTACGAGTGGCCGACGGTGGCGCTTTTCTTCCCCGGCCACCAGCGCCCGGCCGCCGCGCGGCAGCCGCGTGCGGATGGGCGGGCCACGGCCCCACCGCAAGGCCCGCCCTCCCTGCGCTCAGCAGCGCTGCAGCCGGCCGCCGTCGTCGTCAGCGTCCACATCAGCATCATCATCATCATCATCATCATCATCATCATCATCATCATCATCATCAGCATCATCATCATCATCATCCTCATCATCCTCATCATCCTCATCCTCATCCTCATCCTCATCCTCATCCTCAGCATCATCGTCAGCAGAAGCATCATCAATGCCGACAACATCATCATCGGTATCATCATCAGTAACATCATCACCATCATCAGCGGCATCATCATCAGCAGCAGCATCCTCGACATTGTCATCATCATCCTCTTCATCATCATATTCGTCATCAACATCATGAGCATCAGTAGCATCGTCAGCATCATCATCATCACTAACGTCATCAACATCATCATCATCAGCATCATCATCATCAACAGCAGCATCATCAGCATCAGCATCGTCATCGTCATCATCATAATCGCAAGCATCGCCACTATCATCGTCATTATCATCGTCACCATCATCATCGTAACCATCATCGCCATCATCGTCGTCGTGCGTTTCCTCCGCTCCTTCCTCTGCTGGCTGCTCAGCCGCCACGCGGCTCCGAAGACGCGCGCGCGCGGGCTTGCAGCACAAAGTTCGAGGAGGAGGTGGAATTGGAAGAGGGGGAGAACGACGGCAACACCTCTCGGAGGACAGAGGCCGCCAGCTTCGAGCTTCAAGAGGAGGAGCGGGAGAAAGAGAAAGAGGAAGAGGAAGAGGAGGACGAGGAGGCGAGGGAGGGAAAAGGGAAGAGGAAGAGGAAGAGGAAGCGGAAGAGGAAGATGAGGAGGCGGGGGAGGAGGAGGAAGAGGAAGGGGAGGAGGAGGAGAGGGAGGAGACGGAGGAGGAGGAGGAGGAGGAGGAGGAGGAGGAGGAGGAGGAGGTGAAGAGAGGGGCTTCCGGGGCAGGGCGAGGGGAACGGTGAGGAAAGGCCACGGGCCCGGCTCTCTCTCTCTCTCTCTCTCTCTCTCCGGGCCCTCGCTCGCCCACCGCGGGCCCGGAGGTCCTGGGTGGAGGCGCCGGCGGGGGGGGGGGAGGGGGGGGGGGCGAGGAGAGGCGAGAGGAGGGGGCGGGGGAGGGGGGGGCGGGACGGGACGGAGGGGGGGAGAAGGGAAGGGGAGGAGGGGAAGGGGAGAGGGGGGGGGGCAGGAGAGGAGGGCAGGAGGGGGACGGGAGGGTGGGGGAGGGGCAGGAGGAGAGGAGGGCGGGGAAAGGAGGCAGGGCAGGGAAGGGGGGGTAGGAGGGAGAGGGGGGGGGTGGGGGGGGGGGGGGGGGGGCAGTGTCGCGTCGGGCCACGAGCAGGGATGCCACTGCACGAGAGAGGGGGGTGGGGGGAGGGGAGGGAGGAGGGGACGAGGAGAGCAGGGAGAGAGGAGGGGACGAGGGAGGCGGGAGGGCGGAGGGGGAGAGGAGGGGGAGGAGGGGGGGAGGGCGGGAGGAGGGGGGAGGAGGGCGGGAGGAGGGGACGAGGGACCAGGAGGGCGGGAGGAGGGCGGGAGGAGGAGCGGGGAGGAGGTGATGAGAGGGGTCGGGCAGGGCAGTGGGGGGCAGGGGGCGATGATGAGGAGGGAGGGAGGTGGCGGGGGAGGACAACAAGGAGAGGGAGGGGCTGAAGGGGGAGGGAAGAGGAGGGAAGAGGAGGGAAGTGGAGGGATGAGGAGGGAAGAGGAGGGGAGAGGAGGAGGGAAGAGGAGGAGGAAGAGGAGCAGCAGCAGCAGCAGCAGCAGCGGGAGGAGGAGGAGGCGAAGCAGGGAGGAGACGGGGGCGATGGGCGCATCTGTGTGAAGGTGTCGCTCCTGGGCCTACGTCGCGGGAACGGAATCTGTCGTTCACCCGCAAGGTGGAAACCTAACACAGAGCGTCTACCAGCTGGCACATCATATTAGAAGCAACATTCCTTCCTACTCCTGCTGTTCCTCCTCATCCTCCTCCTCCTCCTCATCCTCCTCATCCTCCTCCTCCTCCTCCTCCCCCTCCTTTTCCTCCTCCTCCTCCTCCTCCTCCTCATCCTCATCCTCAGCATCATCATCAGCATCATCAACATCATCATCATCATCATCATCATCATCATCATCATCATCATCATCATCATCATCATCATCATCATCATCAGCAGCATCAGCATCATCATCAGCAGCAGCATCATAAGCATCATCATCAGCAGCAGCAGCAGCATCATCACAATCATCAGCATAATCAACATCATCATCATCATCGTCATCATCATCAGCATCATCAGCAGCATCAGCATCATCATCCTCAGTAGCAGCATCATTATCAGCAGCATCGTCATCATCGTCATCAGCAGCATCATCATCAGCAGCATCATCAGCATCATCATCAGCGGTATCAGCATCATCATCCTCATCCTCATCATCATCAGCAGCATCATCCTTAGCATCACCAGCATCATCAGCAGCATCAGTAGCATCATCAGCATCCTCATTCTCCTCATCCTCATCCTAATCCTCATCCACATCATCATAATAGTCGTCGTCATCATCATGATCCTCGTCATCATCATCCTCATCATTATCAGCCTTCCCTTCCCCCTCCTCCTCCTCCTCCTCATCCTCCTCCGCCTCCTCCCCCGCATCACCATCATCATCATCATCATCATCAGCAGCAGCAGCATCAGCATCACCATCATCATCTTCATGAGCATCAGCATCAGCATCGTCAGTATCATCATAATCATCATAATCATCATCATCCTCATCATCTTCGTCACCACCATCATCATCATCATCATCGTCATCAGCATCGTCAGCATCATCATCCTCATCAGCAGCATCATCCTCATCATCATCATCATCATCCTCAACATCATCCTCATCATCATCAGCATCATCATCCGTAGCCACTTGGGCTCGAGTGCTCTCACACACTCTCATTGCGGCGGGCCTGTCAGGCGGGCGCGGGAAAAGCATGGACGCCGTCTTCGCGGAGATGGCCGAGCGCGCGTACGCAACACGCGAAGAGTTGGTGGAGCACTTCGAGGGCGCCTTCAAGCAGAGCTTCGAAGGCCTGACAGCGGCGGCACGTGCTGCCAAGAGGCGCGGAATGCTCGACGCGCGCCTGGTCAAGGCAGTGGAGCGCCTTCACGTGACGTACCACGTCCTCAGGCACTTCACCAGCCAGCGCAGCAAGAAGCTCATCCAGGACATCTGCAGTCCCACGGACTCCCCCCAGGCGGAACAGGGACATGGAGCAGCAGAGCGACGACGGCGACGTCGCCGAGAGCACCCACAGGATCGAAGCCAGGATCTTCGGCAAGAAGGGCGAGGACCAGGAGGAGGACTACGCAGAGGCACAGCACGACGCCATGGATAAGTGTGGAGACGAGCTCGCCACGGACGAGAAGCTGATGGACCTCAAGGACATGCTGTTGGCTGTGCGGGCCGACATCCTTGGCATGGCGGGGCCGTCGTCGATGCCAGTGGCCCAGGCCGACAGCGTCTCACAGCCGGTCCTGCCGGTGTCGGCGCTTCGGTTGCTGAAGGGAGCCGACGGTCGATGACCCCTACGAGCCGGAGCGCAAGCAGAGGGACCACGAGCACCGGGGCTCCCTGCGGAAGGAGCCCGCCGTGGCGGTGGAGAAGATGGACGACTTCGACGAGGTGCTCGGGCATGAGGTCGTGCAGGGAGAGGATGAGGAGCTCAAGAGGGCCCGCCTGCGCTTCGGCCTCGGTTCGGGGGGCGACTCGGAGCGGGAGAGCAAGAAGCAGCCCCAGGAGACGGAGAACGAGCAGCAGCGGTCGACGGAGAGCGCCGACGCCGAGTCCTACGGAGAGGGCGGCGTCAATCACAAGAAGGCGCTGCACGGTGTGCTCGGGGTGCAGAGGCTCAAGAGGGCTCCCCTACGCTTCGGCACCAAGATCACGCAGCTGCTGCACGTCACACACGAGACGGGCGACCCCGTCAACGACAAGACGGCCGAGGAACAGTAGCACACGGAGGAGGGCCTGCAGACGAACCTCGCGGAGCCGCTCATTAAGGCGCGCGCGCACGCCTGAGAGAGGCACCGTCATAGGCTGCTTGCACGGGGAGCGTGTGCGTAGTCACGCGGGTTGTGCCTTCCGTCCTCGGTGCTGATGTTGTGTAATGGCCCCCTGGCAGGGTCGGCGGAACGACGGCGTGGGTGGGAGTGCGAGGGCACTCCCAAAGCAACATCCGCGTGCCGTGCGTGGGGCGCGGCAGGTGCTGGCGACTGCACAGCACTCGATGTGGAGTGTGGGTGCAAGGCCATTCCGACGATTTCTCGATCGCTGAGCGGGAGCCGTCGGTAGCGTTTCGATTTGATGAAGCGGGCAGTCGTTGTCACACGCCCTAGAGTCCTAGAATCCTCCTCATCGTCATCATCAGTGTTATCAGCATCACAATCGGCAGCAACAGACATCATCATCACCACCATCACCATCATCACCACCACGACCCTTCTGCTCACCATGTGCCCGCCAGGTACAATTCCTAGTATGGTGTATCCTCCTCCTCCTCTACCGCCACCTACACGTCATGTCACTCGTCCTCCTCATCCTCTTCGTCTTCGTCATATGATTGATCATTTATGCATACCAATGTGAACATATATCTATACATACACACATATAGATGTATCATCGCGAAGCTAGGCAGAAAGGGTTTCAGTATTTGGTCATTGTGTTACCACTTTACCTTTCTCCTCCTGATCTCCCCCCACACACGATCTCCTCCTCCCCCTCCTCCTTCTCTTCCCACCTCCCCCTTCTCGTCGTCCTGCCGATGTTTCAATTTGCGTTTGCGCTTCTCATTACAGACCTGATCGAACACATGCGTTCCCATCAGCCGCCGACCTTCCACCCCTGGCGCCGACCTCAGCTCTTGTAGTTGTGAAGGGACCCGTAGGACGAGCTCTCTCCTTCCCGGTGCACCTCATCGCAGCGGCAGGAGAGGAGGGAGGAGCGGTGTACGACGAGAGGAGCGGGGAAGGAGAAAGGATGGTGGAAAGATGAGGAGCAGCAGCAGTAGGGTGAGAAAGGAGAAAGGACACGGAGCATGAGCAGGAGGAATGGCGGGCCTTATAGGTTCTGGAGGACTCTAGGGGGTTCTGCGGGCTCCCCAGTGCTCCAGAAAGGACTTAGAGGAGAAGGAGAAGGCGGAGGAGGAGGGCCGAGAGGATCCAGCATCTCCCATACATAGAAGTGACCTTCATGCCGCACGTGCTCTTTCCATCCTGGGCATGTTCTCTTTGGGCTTAGAGGAGGGAGGAGGAGGAGGAGGAGGAGGAGGAGGAGGAGAAGGAGGAGGAGGAGGAGGAGGAAGAGGGAGGAGAAGGAGGAGGAGGAGGAGGAGGCTGAGGGAAGGAGGGGGGGAAGGAGGGGAGGGGCACCAGGAGGGGACAGGGAAGCGGAGAGCGGGAGGGCGATCAGGCGATGAGGATGCGTGGATAGATGGATGGCACGCTCACCGAACTGGTGACTGACAGCGAACTCGAAAGCCAGAGATACTGCATGAAATTTGTGAAAGGCACTCAAAAGTCCGGAGACGTGGAGGAAAAATGCGGTGGACGCTTTTTGTTGCGTCGGCGGCCAGGCAGGGGTCGTCGGCGCTGGCGGACGAGGCGACCCAAACGGGGGGCACCGCTGTAGCGAAGTGGCCAACATGCAAGAGCGGGAAAACGGGACAGAGCAGGCGGCCGCAGGTAAGCGAGCGAAGAACGGTATAAAATAAACTTTTTCGCTGTCGGGGGCGCCTGTCCCTGGGCGGCTGGAAAGTTTATACCCCTACGGTGCCACCGTAAGGGTATAAACTTTCCAGCCGCCCAGGGACAGGCGCCCCCGACAGCGAAAAAATTAATGTTATACCGTTCTTCGCCCGTTACGGAGCAGGCGGCCGCAGGGGGGGGAGACAAGGCGAGGGCCATTCATGGGGGACGGATCACTTCCCCAGGTGCGACGGCGCGGCCAGCCCTGCCGGTGGGGGCTGTTGCGGCTGCTGCGCCGGCGTACCTGCTGAGGCGGGGCCCAGTGCGCGAACTGCTGGTCAAAATTTGCGTGGAGCCGACGAGAGGAAGGCGGCAGACACATGCAAGGGGAGATCTTCCTTCAAGAAAGATTGGGGCACTTTATTCGTGGATATCTGAAGGCCTAAAGGGTTCCTAAGGGTGTCCTTGGGTCCCTGGGGTTATCGGGGGATATGCAATTTCCATGGGGCACCTGCTGGCAGGGGTGGGTTGACCCGAACGCGCCTCGAAATGCACCCCACAGCCGAAGCCGAAGCCAACGCTGAAAGTTGCCTCTCGGCACATGCGTTTGGTGAGGGGGTTAAAGGAAATCGGGGGAAGGCGCAAACAGCCGATGCTCAACGAAATGCGTTCCGCCTCGCAGTGCAAAGCTGGGTCCCCGACGCAAGCGGCGTCACAGCGGTCAGGAGCAAAATGTGCCAACCAGAACGCTGCGCACCGAGGAGAACGGAGCTGGTCGCACTGTTCCTGCGCCCACACGCCGATACATCAACCTGATGACGGCCATCGTGTACCCTCACGGGCTGCACGGGAGAGAAGGGGCAGAGAAGGAGACGAAAGAAAAGATCTTCTCGATGAGCCCGAACAGCGGTGCGCTGGCGGCAAAAGAGAGGCAGGAGACTACGGAGATGCCTCTCTTACGGGTGGCGGTTCTGGGGGCTCTGGCGCAGGGCCCCTGCCACTCCAAGGAACTTGAGGCTCCAGGGTGGTGGGAGGAGGAGGAGGAGGAGGAGGAGGAGGAGGAGGAGGAGGAGGAGGGAGGAGGAGGAGGAGGAGTGGGTTGTTCAACATCGGCCAAGCCCCTGAACCCAAACGGCCACCCACGTCGGGCAGCAGAGGAGGATACACTTGCGCGCGCTGGCGCACGGAAGCGTAGCCTCGAGGAGCCCGAACTCTCCTCCTCCTCCTCTCCTCCTCTCCTCCTCCTCCTCCTCCTCCTCCTCCTCCTCCTCCTCCTCCTCCTCCTCCTCCTCGGTGCGATGACGGCACGAGAGGTGCCAGGAGGTGACGGAGATGCCCTCTTTGCGCGTGGCAGTCCCGGCAAGGGGCCCCGGCACAGGGCCCTTGGTCATTCCGGGGAGCTGGAGGCCCTCCCCGTGCCGTGGGAGCGAGACGCCAGGATCGGGGAGACGTGAGACTCGGGAACGGGGGACTCGGGTTGGCCTGACGGGGCCATCTCGACAAAATGACGAGACCCAATCCGAAACCTGATCGGACAGGCACGGGAAGCGCCGCTGCAGTCACATGGGCGGTACGGGGCGAAGAAGAAGAGAAGGAAGGCGAGGACGACGAGGAGTCGATGACGAGGACGACGTGGCGAACGTGAGGATAGCGAGGAGGAGCACGAGGACAACGAGGAAGAAGAGAAGCACAAGGACGAGGACGAAGAGAACGAGGGCGAGTACGAGGAGGAATGCGGAGGGCGCTGATGACGACGACGACGACGACGACGACGACGACGACGACGACGACGACGACGACAGAGGACAGTACGAGGCAATTGGAGAAAGACGTTGCTCCTGGCGCCGCGCGGGGCTCTCTTGGGGCCTGTTGGGGGCTTCTTGGGGGCCCCTTGGGTCCTCTTATGGGCTTCTGGGGTCTTCTTGGGCTGTCTGGGCGCGTCGTGGGGTTCTGCGGGAGCCTTCGTAGGCCGTCTCGGCGCTGGGGGCCTCCTGGGGCGCTCCCGGGAGTCTCTTGGGGCATTCTTGGCCCTTCTTGGGCCGTCTCGGGGTTCTTGTGAGCTGTCTGGGTGGCTCCTAGAGCGCTCATGGGGGTCTATTGGGGTCTTCTTGGGGCGCTCTTGGGCGCTCATGGGGCTCTCCGGGGCGTCTTTGGGGCCTCCCTTGGGCCGTTGGAAAACACTCCAAGAGCGATTCGAACACGACGTCGATGCGGAGTCCCCTCTTGGGCCGATTTTTTGAGGATGAGACCCAATCTGAAACCTGACCGGACAAGAACGGGAAGCGTCGCTTTAGTCCACCAAGCATGTGGAAAATGCTCTGTTGTTGTTATGCCGCGCAGATATGCCGTGGCGCGCGTGTCGGCGTGCGTGCGGGGTGTGTTTTGCTGTGCTCCTTTGTGTTCTGCCGTGCTCCTGTTCTGCCGTGCTTCTGTGTTCTGCCGTGCCTCTGTGTGCTCTGTGTGTTCTGCCGTGTTCCTGTATCTGCCGTGCGGATCGTCGCGGTGGTCGTTTTGGCAGAGCTTCTGGGCGCACACGGCAGAAAAAGATCAGGAGCACGGCAGAATAGGCCCCAAGAGCGAAGGAGCACGGCAGAGAAAGACAAGGAACACGGCAGAATAGACCCCAAGAGCAAATGAGTACAGCAGAATACACCCCAAAAGCTAAGGAGCACGGCAGAAAATGACCAGGAGCACGGCAGATTAGACCTCAAGAGCTAAGGAGCAGGCAGAGAAAGACCAGGAGCACGGCAGATTAGGCCCCAAGAGCGAAGGAGCACGGCAGAAAAAGACCAGGAGCACGGCAGAATAGACCCCAGGAGCGAAGGAGCAGGGCTGGATATGCCTCAAGTGCGAAGGAGTACGGCAGAGAAAGACCAGGAGCACGGCAGGATAGACCCCAAAAGCTAAGGAGCACGGCAGAGAATGACCAGGAGCACGGCAGAATAGGCAACAAGAGCGAAGGAGCACGGCAGAAAAAAAACATAAGCACGCCAGAGTAGACCCCGAGAGACCCCGAGAGCTGAAGGAGTGCGGGAAAATAGACCCCAAGAGCGAAGGAGCAAACCAGAAAAAGACGAGGAGCACAGCAGAATAGAACCCAAGAGACAAGGAACACGGCAGAATATGCCCCAAGTGCGAAGGAGCACGGCAGAAAAAAAGCAGGAGCACGGCAGACAAAGACCAGGAGCACAGCAGAATAGGCCCCATGAGCGAAGGAGCACGTCGGAAACAAACCGGGAGCATGAGCAGATGGCAGAATAGACTCCAAGAGCTGCCGAGCACGGCAGAAAAAGACCAGGAGCACGGCAGAATAGACCCCAAGAGCTAAGGAGCACGGCATAATAGGCCCCAAGAGCGAAAAAAGACGCCAGAAAAAGACCAGGAGCACGGCAGAAGATGCCCCAAGAGCTAAGGACGACGGCAGAAAAGACCGAAACACAGCAGAAAAGGCCCGAGGAGCCAAGGAGTACCACAGAAAAGACCAGGAGCACGGCAGGATAGGCCCGAAGAGCGAAGGAGCAAACCAGAAAACGACGAGGAGCACGGCAGAATAGAACCCAAGAGACAAGGAGCACGGCAGAAGATGCCCCAAGTGCGAAGGAGCACGGCAGAAAATGACCAGGAGCACGGCAGAATAGACCCCCAGAGCTCAGGGGCACGGCAGAAAAAAGACCAGGACCACGACAGATTAGACCTCAAGAGCTAAGGAGCAGGCAGGAAAAAAGACCAGGAGCACGGCAGATTAGGCCCCAAGAGCGAAGGAGCACGGCAGAAAAAGACCAGGAGCACGGCAGAATAGACCCCAGGAGCTAAGGAGCAGGGCTGGATATGCCTCAAGTGCGAAGGAGTACGGCAGAGAAAGACCAGGAGCACGGCAGGATAGACCCCAAAAGCTAAGGAGCACGGCAGAGAATGACCAGGAGCACGGCAGAATAGGCCCCAAGAGCGAAGGAGCACGGCAGAAAAAAACAGAAGCACGCCAGAGTAGACCCCGAGAGCTGAAGGAGTGCGGGAAAATAGACCCCAAGAGCGAAGGAGCAAACCAGAAAAAGACGAGGAGCACAGCAGAATAGAACCCAAGAGACAAGGAACACGGCAGAATATGCCCCAAGTGCGAAGGAGCACGGCAGAAAAAAAGCAGGAGCACGGCAGACAAAGACCAGGAGCACAGCAGAATAGGCCCCATGAGCGAAGGAGCACGTCGGAAACAAACCAGGAGCATGGCAG